TCAGGAAGCATCCCTGAGGTTCAGGAAGCATCCCTGTTTACCGATTTAGAAGAACAGCTGTGGTGGGTTATCTCAGCTGTGCCCACACAGAAGCTGTACACGAAAGATGGAACGAGCTTCTCCGTCTTAAACCTGCGTTGTTTGTGTTGGCCAGCAGGGGGCGAATCTTCTGGTTGTAAAGTAAATCTGGGTGGAAATGAGCCCACAGTCCACTGATGAGTCCGTGGCCTCGTCACTACTTTGATCTTTCATACTTATTTATTGTATTGATACTTTATAACTGAGGAGCCAGAACCTCACGTCACTACATGTCACGTTAACGAGTCAGTGGGCAGTGTCACGGTGGTGACGTCCATCTTTTGTATACAGTCTGTGTTGTGAAGAGGTTGGGTCGGACGCTCTTCACCTTCAGACTGCTGTGATTTGGGTCCATAAAAAGAAATAAAACTGAATTAAAAATCGGTTTATTGTCTGTAGTCTGGATTTCATGTCGTGTTTTATTTGTGCTGAAGTGAATATTTATTCTATTTCAAGCAGCTTTTTTCATTACTTCTTAATTTTGTTACAGTATTTTACTGGTAAATTATAAAGACGATACTTTCAGAAAGGCTTCATATAAATTCTGTCTTATTTAACTTTATTTTCCTACATCTCGGCTCACTTATGGAGACGTTTCTGCTGGACTGAATCGACTTGTTTAAAAGAAATGTTGTAATAAGTAAAGACTGAACCACGGCTTAGATCAGTAAAGAAATCAAACCCAGCACCGAACACTGAAGCTCATCCCAGAAACAAGTGCAGGATTTTAAAGGCAATGCTTTAAAATGATTTCATGTTCAAAGAAAACAAGAATGCAGTGTCAGTCGAACTCATCAGGATGGAAAAGCTGGGAAACTTGGACTCTGGTGAAGGAATGAGCAGCTGAGGCACGGCGACACCGCTGTAACGGCAGGGCCCGATTAAAGAACCGCTCCAGTTTCTTAGCAGCCGAGTCAGTTTTGACCCTCGCGTCTCGCTCGGACGCCGTCCGTGTCACTCGTCCGGCTTCATTAACGTTCACAGAAACGACGCCGGGAGCAGAAACGCCCCGAGCTGTAACAAACTGGAACTTCCTTTTTTCTGTTTTTAACTGTGTCGTTTTATAAAAACATTTTTGAAGAATTGCACAAATAAATAAAGAGATCAGAGACAGAAAAGCGCGACGCTGCAGAGGCGTCACGTGCTGCTGGCAGACCGACCGTCAATCTGCGTCTCGTTGCCAAGAAAACACGCTTCTTTAAATCTCACGGGAAACTAGCTGTCTGTGTAGGAAAATCACAAACTTTATTTGATCCACATAGTGAACACTTGTCTTCATGTTACAGTTTAGTCCAGATCAGAAAGTCAAGCCCGCTCGTCCTGTCGTCAGATTTCCTTTCAGTTTGTGAAAGATTCACGCTGAAGCTCGTTGGGGTCGGCGTGCACTCACGGGCTGTCCGTCTTAGTCTTTGCTCAGGCTCCCGCCTCCTGTAGACCCATCTGTGTGTGCGTGTGTGTGCGTGCGTGCGTGTGCGTGTGTGTGCGTGCGGTTAAAACCTTCCACCGCCACTAGGTGGAGTCAACGCCACGCAGGCATGAGCTGCAGCATCTCTGTTTGTACGTGTCCACATGGCACAGCCTCAGCCTCCTCACCACACTGCAGTACTGGGTGGTGTCCTCGCATTCACCTGCAGGGAGAAGAACACCTCATCTCACATCTAGCACCGTGAAAAACATTACAGGTGTGTTTCTGGAGGTTTTAGGTTTTCGATGGTGCAGATTTCACGGTTCTCCAAACGACAGGGAGGCCGTGCGCGCCCACAGACTCCTCCTCATCTTGTTTTGCTATAAGTTGTGACCACCGTGCCTCACAACACTCTGAACACAAGTTTGGATCCTTCTCACGTTAAACACGGTGCGTCTTTTTAAGGACACAAACTCCAACACCTGACTCGTTCTAAGTCACACTGAATAAAACATTAAGCCCATCCACCCATTTTCTTCTGCTTATCCAGTTCAGCGTTTCCTGCTGACGGGCCGACGGGGCTGACGCCGTCTGCACCCAACCTAACGCCGCCACCTGCATGAGGAGGTCGATACGTGTCGATATGGAGCGAAGCTCAAAAACAGGAAGGCTTTTCATTGTTCTGAACGTTAGCGGGTGAAAATGACGGGCTGAGGGCAGCTGTGAGTTTTGTGACACTGACATCACCTCGTGAGCCGCCGACAGCGCGCCCGCGTCCAGGATGTCGTGACGTACGAGGAGCGCCGCCGCCGGTGATTAAAATGAAGCATTTAACATTTACTGGTTGTCATTCAGAGCTGCTGGTTTGCTGCTTCAGTTTCAGTTAAGTCCAATCAGCCTGACTGCAGCGCCACAAAGGTGAAATTCATCTGCATAAACTTTTACATGAAACTTTAAGAAACCTTCAGGGTTTTTTAGCGGTTTGAATAAAACAAGTCCAACGTGGCCGATCGCACACGCCACAGGTCAGCTGTAGGTTTACGTATTTAACGGCTTCGCCTAAAGAGCGCAGGACGCGGCGCAGACTTACTCCCACAGGTGGCGGTGTTGCAGTGCTGCCAGGTGGAGGGTCGCTGGAGCCAGGCGCAGTGCTGGTCGGCCAGAGTCCGGCCGGTCTTGCTGTGAACGCAGTCCACCCTGCGGGACTGGAAGCCACTCCCACAGACCACGGTGCACGCTCGCCACGCACCGGGACGCCACTGAACATCGCACAGGTCAGACGAACAGTTGCGCACGGACACCGGTCTGAAAGAGAGACTGGGAGTTATTGATGGGATTGGTGATGAATTCTGATGGTGTCAGTTCTGCTCCGCCTCGGTCAGCGCTACTGGCTTAGAGCTGTGAGCACAACGCCATCCAGCTCTACCTGTGAGGTTTTAATAAATATTTATTCAGTTAGTGGTTGCCATGGGAGCCAAATTAAGCATCCTGCAGGTTAAAGAGAGGTCGCCGTGCTCTGCTGGCCATTTTACAAAGAACGACTCCATCGCTGTGCGCAGGAAGTTCTCAGCCTGGAAGCAGAAAGAACACTGGATGTGGTGCAGCTGTTCTCGTGGCCGTAGATGGGCAAACTCCACCTGCTGATCTGCCCGACGCTCGGCAGGAAGAAGAAGAAAACAGGAAGGTAGCAACGGTTCGATCCAGCAGCCGCTTGCCAGCGTGCCCGAGCACATCGTGAGCCAAACTAACGGCAGCGTGTTTAGCTTTACGGGTTTGAGGTCTCTGTAGAAGAGGAGCAGCTCTGATCACATGGTAGGTAATCAGTGAGACTCGTTCCTGGTGGCTGATGGACTCCATCATGGCTGCTCTTTGTCAGTGATTCAGCTGGCGGGTGGAGGATTCTGCGGTCTCAGGTTTCGGAGCTCCAGCTCACACTGGGATTGCCCCGAGCTTCGAGTTCAGGCATCTGACACCGAGGGGATCAGCAGACGGACGGACGATCTGTTGCAGCAAAGAAGCTGACTGTGAGCAAATCTGTCACATCGCCGGCTGATCCGTGTTCCCGCCCTCACATATGGCGGCGAGAGAACGAGGCTGTGGTTGGTCAGAGTCGCTGCTCCTCCACCTGACTGGGGTGGCGAACAGACCCAGGACACATAATAAGAAGAATACGACGTTCAATAAAAATGCAGTGCTGGTAGATAATAGCGCTCAGTGTATATACTATAACAACACACACCTGCAGACCGACACAGGAAGAAGCCAGAGTGACGCACAGATCGAACAGTTTGGGAACATTTCAGTTGTATGAAAGAGTCATTTGGTGTCTGAGCGCGTGCGTACCTGCTCCGGAGGTCACAGTCTGTGTAGGAGGAGCCGTTGGCGTGCTGGCAGACGACCGATCTCCTCTGCAGGGTGGTGGTGGGGCCCAAACACCTCCCCGAGCACTAAGATTCAAACAGTCACAGCTGAAGGCGACTTGCCTACACCGTGTCACGTGCACGTGTCTGATTAAACGTCTGACTCTACCTTCCCCCACGGACTGGTCACCCAGACGGGGCAGTTATTGGCGGAGCACGGCTCCGTGTCCGCCGGCCGACTCGTCCCCTCGCAGGCGGCCGCCGGCAGGGTTCTCGCCGCACCTCCGGCGTCGAGCTGCTGACACGTGACCCGCCGCTGCTTCTGGCCGGCGCCGCATGAGGCCGAGCACTTTGACCACTCCGACACCGACCATCTGACACAAAGACAGCGACACACGAAGCACACAAACGCAATAAAAAGCTTCAAATGAAACTCCGTCCAAACATTTCGTCTCTTCCTGGAAAGAAGAATCTGTCAAAGCTGCGCTCGTCTCGTTTTAACTCCTCTCAGGCTCCTCCCGAGGAAACCGGGGTGACGAACTACAGGAAAAGGCGGAACGATGGGAATCCTGAGGCTGTTATGCTGCCATCTTTGCTGGCACAGTCCAGGTCCTCTTAAGAAGAAATGTATTCATAGATAAAAATAGATAAAAATCACAAAGTGCTTCACAATAAAACCAGAAATCTGAATAAAACAACGAAAATTTATTAAAAGCTCGTTTGTATAGAAATGTCTTCAGCAGAATCTGCACAGCGTGGAGACGACAGAGGACAAGTCCACAGCCTCAGTGCCTGAAAAGGTTTGACCAACAGTGACCTCTGACCTGAAGACCTGACCCTGCTGGGGAAGAAGCAGGTCAGAGATTCACTGGGGAGCTTCACCATGTAGAGCTCGAAAAGCTCAAACTAAGACGTTAAAGTGAAACCTAAAATGTAGAAGCCTAAACTTCCTGTTAGTGGCGTCCCATAGAGCCGGTTTGTTGTAAAAAGAGCCTTACAGCCACCTCAGCTCTGCCTTTGACACCTGCAGTCTGAGCGAAGTTTGTTTCTTAGACGATAAAAACATGGAGTGACGCTGAGCGTCAAATATGGCGCCCAAATTTCTGAGACTCGATTGAACAGAAGAGCCTGAAAAACCGACACGCTGCTTCATTTCTGAAATTGCGTAAACAGGAACAAGCTGTCGTGTCCTGATGGCAGCGATGCTCCACGATTAACTGTGTAACTGAGTAACTGTGGGAAGAGCACTCGGCTCCTGCATCAGACCAAACGAGGAGTATTTTATTTTATTCTTTTGGAAGAATGATTTCCATCCAACCACAGACTTGCCAAAGAGCACTAAAGCTTGAGGTGAGATGAATTACAATGCCCCCCCCGGACTGAAATCTCCACCCATGCTTGTAGCTGTAAACACAGAGCTCCGTCAGCCTGCAGCACTACAGTTGCATCCCGAGCCGAGCTAACAGCGGGTCATTTGTGTTGCATTAGCGAGTGAAGCTGACTCAGTGTGTGGCAGCAGAGCCGGAGGGGGGGGGCTGACTGATGGGCTGTATGATGGGTGCTGGCAGGCTGGCAGCAGCGGGGGGGACTCGGGGTGAGCAGATTCTGCTGAGAGTTACACTTCTGCTGCTCTCCGTGATTCATTAGCGGCCGACCCTCTGCTCACCGCGGGCACAAAACTCAGAGCGGGAAAGGAAAAATGTCAGTCAGTGGGCAGCTTTATGCTATAATCTGTCAATATCGCGGCGGCGCTCACAGGAAGCGCTGCTCTCGCCTGTTTTTGAAGAAGTTCCTTTAATAAAACACGTCAGCAGGTGACAGGAGAGGCTACGGCTCGAATGTGATTAAAGCTGATTGAACGTCGCCTGCTTACAAAACAGCTAACACCTCGGACACCTGCCCACATTAGTGCCCTGCTCCCCAGCACTGGACGCTTGATGGGCGGAGCCACTAGACAGGTACCCTCCCTCTCTGACAAACGCTGAGCTGCACCCGACCGACCGAGAGAACGCCGCACGCGGGCGGTTCTCCTGGATTTGCCAGAACAGCGAACCGTCTTCTTTTCAGATCAACGATTCATTTTCAGAAGTTTTGGGAGGAGCTGCCTTGTGCTGGACACGCCCCCAAAAAGAGAAACGAAGCTTAGACAGTAACTTCCATCATTCCTTGAAATGCAGCTCGACGCCAGCAGGACGGACTGCACAGCTGGTTAACGCGCTCGGCGTCCACGCTCAGGTGAACATGGCGATCGAGCGTACCTGGGGGGGCAGGCCTGTCTGTTGCAGGGGACCGGGGACGTGACGGGTTTCGGTACGCGCTGACACATGTCGGGGTGAACGTCCTTTCCGTCCAGAGAGACGCATCGGATCCGCCGCAGCCACGTCCCTCTGCTCCCGCAGGAAGTGCTGCAAGTGGTCCAGCCCCCAAATCTCCAGCCAAACTCTGCAGAACGAAAGAGGAAACATGGAGATGCATGAGATCGAACGAGTATTCTGTAAATCGGCAGAAGCTTCTGGGCTCTCAGTGACGGTCAGTCCGTTTGTATGAGGAGAGGTGTGGCCGCCATGATGTCACCATTGGTCACTTCCTGTTAGCCCCCGTGTACAGCAGGGGGCAGCAGTCCAATAAAACCAGAGCTCAACACATTTTACTTTAGTTGTTATCCAACATGGATAACGTGTCACAGCTGAAATAAACTGACTTTAGTGAATGAAGCTGCTTTTGACTCAGCAACACCAGCGTCCTGCTAACTGCGTGCTGATTGGTCGGTTAGGGCTTTAGGACAGGATGTTCTCTGTTTCCAAAGATAACTCCAGCAAACAGCAGCGTCGCTAAAGCGCCTCATGGTGCTGTGACGTAAACTAGAATCTAGAACTCCAGCTACCTTTGAACCCTCTTATCACAAAATCCCCAGAAGAAAGATTTTTACTCCAAATTGAGATTTTAGCTCTACAGCGCCAAACCTGTAGCCCCACCCACAGTTATCCCTCTTTAATCAGCCTTTCTGACTCCAACAGACTGAGACCAGAAACTCATCAGCAAAGATCAAATCAAAGCTCAGCAGAGCGGCCTCCGACCTGCTTCTTTGCCCCCTGCTGGACGGTAGAAGGAATGCAGCTTTAAGCCACTTTGCACCGTCTGTGCGTCTCAGACACAAACGCTAAATCTATTCAAACTCAGCCACCGGTTCCCATCAGACTGACATCAGACGCTCCACAGAATACGTGACAGCTCAAAGGTCGGTGAAAACGACTTCTGATCTATACATTTATTGATTTATAGACTCTGTGCTGGACTGCATCATCTGCATGCAGAGGCGATCTCTTCGCTGACAGCTGTTCCAAATGGCGGAGCCGTGCCTCGTTATCCACACGGCCGCAGTTTGAAGGGAAGACTGTAGAAGCTACAGGCCAAACCGGGACGGGGCTCGGAGGAATGCCTCAGCATCCCGTCACAGTGAGATTTGGCAGCGGTGACAGAGGATGCAAAGCCTGAGCGGCGGCGTCAAACACCACCCTGACACGTTAACGTGTCGCGCACGAGCCTGCACAGATTCTCAATGTTTAATTTCAGATGCTGAAACGGCCACAGTGGAGGCAGGGAGACGTCCGAGGCAGAGGAAGGGACGGCGTCACAGAGACAAAGAAGCGGCTTCATTCCTGCAGAGCTGGGCTGGACCTGAATAATCGTGTGGGGCATTCATCGTTTCTTTGATAGAAATGATGCTCAGTTTGTTCCCACAGGAGATTTTTCCACTCTGGAGAGCCAAATAAAGTCAGGCCGTGTGACGCCAGCTCGGCGCTGACACCGGCAGCTTCCAGAGATGAACCACCTCATCCACCCGGGACGTTCCCTCCCCTCAGCGTTCCCCGGATGCTCGTTTCCACAAACCGCTTTTTGTTTTTAATGTATTTACTTTAACTAAGCTTCACACTTTAAGCAGCTTTTGGATTCTCGTCCTCTCAGACGCATTAAGCACTCCTCGCCACCCACGCACGAATTAGGAGACGCGCTTCCTGCCATTTATCGCTCACTCGGTCCAATTATCATTCGTCTCATGACTTCCAGCTCGCTCTGTTTGCCTGTGTTTACCTTCCTCTCCAGAACTACTGACATCATTTGCTGAGTTTATTCATGCAGATGCAGCTTCAGCATCAGCGAGACCGTAAAAATGTTTTCAAGCACATAATAAAAATCCAGTTAGATCATAACAATCTGAGAAGAGTCGTGGAAACACTCAGCAAAGGAGCTTCGGCGCTTCCTTTACCGCCTGCTTTAACGGTGGAGGTTTTCCAGCTTCAGGAACCACGTCACCGTCGTCCACGCTCACATTATGAACACGCCCTCTCGTTTCAGCTCCTGACTTTATGACATTTTCCATGGAGCTCAAGCTGCAGCCCTGTTGCCTCCAGACCAACCTGATCACTGCATATCATGATATTCATGTACATTAGATAGCCGCTGATATGAGACATGCACAGTATAGTAACCCTGCATTTTGAAAACTTCCCGTCCTGGAAAAGCGTCCCTGTCCACTGCCTGTGTCCACAGGCAGGCGGCGTAAACACTCACCTTCGCTGTGAACGTATATCCAGGCTGACAGGATTTGCCTGGTGCTGTTGATGAAGGTCTGGCATCTGTAGCGGCCCGCGAACTTCCCCTGGAGCGTGCTGACTTCCAGCACCCGACCCCCCACCAGCATCCTGTGCTGCAGACCCTGACCCGGACCGGGATCTGGGGAGTGAGCCGGAGCCGAAACCTCCTTCAGGGTCCGGTTGTTGTACTCCCAGCGCACAGGCGGCTTGTGGTCGGAAACCACCGGACAGCCTGCGACAGGCAGGAGCAGAAAGAATGTATGTCTTTAAAACTATAACGCAGAAAATGCTAAACAGGAACTCCATCAAGTTCAGACACTAATGCAGCGCTAATGGATGAAAGAAGTCCATCTGAGGGGAGAGCGCTGCTTAATGTGAGAGCAGCTCAGCGATGGGAGGCGGCTCGACCTTGTTATTCAGCAGACTCAGACCGGAGCTGTGACTGAGATCTTCTCCTTAACTTTAAATCCGATAAAATCTAAAGTTAAAGACGATTTTATTCTGACACTGTTTTCAGTTCTTTAATAAAAGCCTGTGAAGCCACCTTTCCAAACCCTTTATATTAACAAACAGCAAATCCAATCCGTCTGAGGATGTCGTGGTTTTGTCTCCTATATTTATCTGGTCATCACATTAAGGTCAGTCTGCGGCTCCGGGCACAGGATGTTGTCTTCGCTGGTGAGAAACCGGCCGTGACTGTGACAGCAGAGGTGAGTAAAGCGTACCTATGCGCAGGACGTCTCCAGGTTTGATGAAGACGCTCGTGCCGCGCCGTGACGCCATGAGGACTCTCCTCCTGCTCAGCTCCTGAGACGCTGGAAGCACCCGGCTCCCTCCGGCTGGATCTGCACACACAAACGTTACTCCACGTGACCCAACGCGAGCGATTATGGCGAGAGGTCGGCTTTATGTGTGAACCCACCGTGGACCTTCAGGACTGTGGAGGCGGTCGACTTTCCTATGGCGTTGGTGGCGGCACAGGAGTAGGTGCCCTGGTTGTGCACGGAAACGTTTCGGATCCACAGCGAGCCAGACGGCAGGGAGACGGCGCCGGCGTCCAACAGCCCGTCCTTCCTGTGCCACAGCACCGTGGGGCGAGGAACACCTGACAGACGGAGAAAGGAGCGTTAAAAATGTAACAACAACAGAACAGGTCAAACATGGTGAGATGAATCCTGACGCTGCAGGAAGAAGAACGTGTTGCTTCCTGTTTAAAGGGAGTTTTTCTTTCCCGCTGCTGCCAAAGCTCCTCTGATTGCTGTATTACACGGTCTTCCTCTGAATTTTATTACAAATGCCATTCAATCAAAGTATTTGGACGGCGTTTGACTGATGCAGTATTTATCATGACGAGGACGAGCTGGCGACACAGTTATGGAGTCAGGATGTAGAGAAACACTGCTGCTCTGTCAGAGGAGGAGCAGAGTCCGGCCTGAAGCTGAGCGCGAGCTCTGACGTGAATCTGAAATCAAACTCTGGCTGAACTTCACACGGCTTCACTTCCTGCGTCTGAACAGCGGCTGATGTGAAGCGAGGATCAGCGTGAGAGTCTGCAGAGCCCACAGGCTGTGTCGGGGTCAGACCCCACGCTGCTCCCGCCGTGGATTCCTGCGAATCGACTTCCACAAGCGTTCCCTGTTTAGCAGCACAGCTCTGCAGGAGAAGCGCTTCTTTTCCTTTTTTGACACAGAGATATCACGACGTGTTTTCCCAATCTCTGTGATGCTTACACCCCAACACACCCCGAACACTCCACTTGGACTCGCCGCCTTTTCAAACAGCCCCAAATAAATGTAGGCAGAAATAATTAGCATGCAGTAATTAAAGCAGTACTTCTGTTTACTTGTGAAAATTAGAAGCATAAACGAGTCATGAAATGTTAATTTTATGCACAGAATATATATACGGCATATTAAGGTGACATACTTAAAGGGTCTGGAGTCCCAGCTGAGACGAGCAGAGACAGATAAGTGTTGTTCCTGTGCATGAACGGAGACGGGAAAGAAAAATGTTGGTTTAGCCTGAAACACGTGTGTCACGTGCAGAGATACACAGCTCCTGCAGAGCTGCAGCTCAGCAAGAGCAGGTTGTCCCACACTTTGAGAACTCTGTGACCACACCCACCTTTGAGTGGCACGCCGACCTGCAGCTCACACTGAAGCTGAGCCGGAATTACCTGACGATGATGATGATGACGATGATGGTTCTCAGCTGCAGGTTGGACTGTTCAGGTCCAGTTGGAGAAATTTTCTGGAAGGAGTCGAGCGGGAGATTGACGGACGGATCGATGCGGCGTCTGCTGTCACGTTGCTGATTTGTTTTCCTGAGTCTGACGGTGAAGCTGTCGACTGATTGGTCAGCCTACGCTCCCACTCGCACCTTAAATGATCTGAAACTCTGGCTGGAAACTGACAGAAAAAAGAGACCAACTTCCTGTGACGAGCGCCTGGCCGAGGAGCTGCTGCGCCTCCAAAAGGAGCCAGCTGAGGCGGTTGGAGGTGAGACGCTCATGTCTCCCAGCTGGCTTGGGAACATTGGGAACATTGGGAAATGTCCCAGTGGAGGAGGTGGCTGGGTATCTCTGCTCACACTGCCGCCCTGCCACCCAGGTGGTTGGGAGAAGATGAGTGAACACTGCTTGTTGCAGAATCAGGATCATGAAAATAAGAGTGTTTGTCTGGGAATCTTCCAGCTACAAGCTAAAGGAGCAAACCTCTGATGGAACGAAGGAACTGCAGCTCGGCTCACAGCTCTTTAACTCTCGTGTGTCTTCATTAGAGTCAGTGTGGACAAAGGCAGGAGGCAGCTCAGACCGTGTGCACCGGATAACTGGTCGAACAGGATTTCAGCTTCCAGCTGTCTTTCTGCAGCAGCAGCGTACGAGCTGATCAGGACTTGGACACAGCTCAGAGTTTAGTCTCTCTGCACTTCATATATTGAGGTGAGTGAGGTGAACTCCTGAAGTGAGGCGTCCAAACGTGACTCTCACTCTTACATCAGACAGCTATGAACACCCAGCTGCCAACAGGAGAATGCTCTGATTTTCCAAGATGTCACTCTCCATTACAGACTTCACTTCACCCAATCAGATGAAAAATTACTTTCAATCTGGTTTATCTCAC